TTTTTTTTTTTTTTTTTTTATTTCGAGATGTTTATTGGTTATTTTAATCGATGCGTTTATGAGTGTTGGATGGGATTTTGCTCTGGTGATTTGTCAGATCTCAGGATTTGGTTGAATGCACCGACACTCGTTGCTTTCGTCGCTTTAGCTATTTTCGTATTTTGATGTCGGTTTAATCACGAGATGACTGTCAGTGTATTGTACGATGTTCAATTTGCTTGGAGTTTGGTTGGAATTTTTTCTCCCCTGTTATGCATATTGGAAGAAATTTCTGTTGCTTAAACTTGTGTTATGGTGTTTGAGAATGTCGGATTTCTTGACTCTTCCCATTTACTGGGAAGGATTATTGAAATTTACTGCAAGTTTAAGTTATTAATCTAAACCGACATTTTGGGCTAACAGCTTAAAGGAAAAAAGTTCAACGCTCAGCTGGTGGCTTGGCTTTCCCCCTCCCTGATTGGATAAAGGATTGCCAATATAGTAATTGGGGCTAATTCACTTACTTTAAGTAGAACAGGTTTACATATCTGTAAATCAGGTTATTTGTGTTTTTTGGCCTGTTCTTCTGTGGTGGAACTTTATGGTTTCCTGAATTTTTACAGATTATTGCCGTCATTTTCTACTGTAGCTTCAGGAGGGGAGGTTATTCCAGTTTTCCTTTAGGTGATTCATGCAACATTGTTCATTTTCGTACTTGGGTCGAACTATATAGTTGAGAAAAGCTTGAAAGTTTGATAAATGACGAGGGGAAGATCTGATGGAACTCCGAAGAAGCGCTTAATCACTACCATATGTGTTGTGGCCATATTTCTTGGGTTTCTGTATGCATATTATGGATCCATTTTTGGCAATCAAGACCGAGGTGCATCGACTCTGCAGCACGGCAGCAAATCCTTGAGCCATTATTTGTTGGGGAGTGAAGACTCTGAAGAATCTTCAACCACAACTGTGCAGGAAGATCCAGAAGATGGTATCGTACCGAAAAGTTACCCGGTAAGTAATTGTGTTCCTTGAGCCAATATTTGTTGGGGGAGTGAAGACTCATGTAGTGTGATTCTTATATCATAGGTTTGTGACGATCGGCATTCGGAACTAATTCCCTGCTTGGACAGACATCTCATATATCAAATGAGATTGAAACTCGACCTTTCTTTAATGGAGCATTATGAAAGGCACTGCCCACCACCAGAGAGGCGGTTCAATTGCCTGATTCCGCCTCCAGCAGGATATAAGGTAGCTATTTGGTAACACTGAGTAACATCTGAAGGTTTTGCTGGTTTCTAACTTTTACTTGTTACTAATGTGTTGCTGCAGGTTCCAATTAAGTGGCCAAAGAGCAGAGACGAAGTGTGGAAAGCGAACATACCGCATACTCATCTTGCTCACGAGAAATCGGATCAGAACTGGATGGTTGTCAAAGGCGAAAAAATTGTGTTCCCTGGAGGAGGTACTCATTTTCACTATGGAGCTGATAAGTACATTGCTTCAATTGCAAATGTAAGACTTCTGAACCCTTTAGGAAGGAGGGATAACACAATTTTTTTTGCTTTTTGTATGATATTTTGAATACAAAGTTCATTAAATGACTCAAATTTGCACATTTTTACAGAATATCATGTTTTTATCTCTACCATTCATGGTGTTGTCTCAAGTTTATGATATTCATCTTTCAGATGCTCAACTTTTCAAATGATAAAATGAACGATGAAGGAAGACTGCGTACTGTTCTTGATGTCGGTTGTGGTGTCGCAAGTTTTGGAGGATATCTTCTCTCTTCTAATATCATAGCAATGTCCTTAGCACCAAATGATGTTCATCAAAATCAAATTCAGTTTGCTTTAGAAAGAGGAATTCCTGCATACCTTGGTGTTTTAGGAACGAAGAGGCTCCCTTACCCGAGCAGATCTTTTGAACTTGCACACTGTTCTCGGTGTCGAATTGATTGGCTTCAAAGAGACGGGATTCTTCTTCTCGAGCTAGATAGAGTACTTAGACCTGGTGGCTATTTTGCTTATTCATCTCCAGAAGCTTATGCACAGGATGAGGAGGATCTGAGAATATGGAGAGAAATGAGTGCCCTTGTGGGTCGTATGTGTTGGAGAATTGCTGCAAAGAGGAATCAGACTGTAATTTGGCAAAAACCCCTTACAAATGATTGTTATATGCAAAGAGAACCCGGTACTCGTCCTCCTCTTTGCCGATCTACCGATGATCCTGATGCTGTTTGGGGTGTGCTGATGGAAGCTTGTATCACTCCTTACTCGGATCGTAAGTTCCTTGTCGAAAGCCTTGATGTAGATTTTTGTTTACTTACTACTCAACGATGACACTGGGTTTGTTGATGCAGATGATCATAAAGCCAAGGGCAGTGGATTGGCTCCTTGGCCAGCTCGATTAACGTCACCTCCTCCACGACTTCAGGACTTTGGCTATTCTTCTGAAATGTTTGAAAAAGACACGGTAACTGAAACCCGGGGTGAATTCGACTAATTCAAATCCGGATGCCGAAGTTTCTGAACTTTATCGCCTTGTTGCAGGAAACTTGGCGGCGTAGAGTCGAGAGTTACTGGAATCTGCTGAGTCCAAAGATCGAATCGGATACTATCAGGAACGTGATGGACATGAAGGCACATATGGGATCGTTTGCAGCTGCTCTGAAGGACAAGGACGTGTGGGTGATGAATGTCGTTCAAGAAGACGGACCTAACACACTAAAGCTGATATATGACCGAGGCCTCATAGGCACTACCAATAACTGGTATTCAACTGAAAAATGCACTTGCATATCATTATGATTATATTCAAAATAGGTAAGCCAATTACTTGATACGTTTTTAACAGGTGCGAAGCCTTCTCGACATATCCTCGTACATACGATCTTCTCCACGCATGGACCGTGTTTTCTGACATCGAGAAGAAAGAATGCAGCGCCGAGGACCTATTACTCGAGATGGATCGCATACTCAGACCCACAGGTTTCATCATTATCAGGGACAAGCAATCTGTTATAGATATGGTAAAGAAACATCTATCTGCATTGCACTGGGAAACAGTGGCAACTGCCAACTCCAGCTCCGATTCGGAACTGGAGAGCGACGAGGTCGTGTTTATCATCCAGAAGAAGCTGTGGCTGACAAGTGAGAGTGTGAGGGAGTCAGAATAAATACCAAAAGAGCCATCTTCTTTACAGTTCCCTGTTGCTGTTAAATTTTCCCATGCCCATCATCGTCGCCCGGAGGGATCAGATCAGCAAGCTAGCTAGTCGTCCCGACAACGAGCAACGATGCCAGTAAAAACGGTTCCTTCCGTTCATTAGCGAGATATTTCACATTTCTATTTATTTACTTGTGTAATGCTTTAATTTATAATCTATAGTCGATGGATATTCTTCCAACATTTTTTTTTTGCTTCCCCTTTTTGCTGCTCTGTTATTAGGCCATTGTCTATCTCTACTCAAGTTATTTGATTATTAATTGAAGAATGGAAAATTTGGCCTAAAAGGTCATAGGAATATATAAATTTTCTTAAGTGATAATGCTTCATTTTTCTTCTCCCATCTCATGCTCCAGGTCAAGATTCAGATCATTCCTCGTTTTGTGCGTGTCATTCTTGTACAAGCCGTTCAAGACAAGTACAATAGCATAACCAGGTTGTAGGTGATTTAAGCAGAGGAAATGTCGGATTACTCCTAGTAAATATTGTTTGCTTTAGCTTGTCATGTATCTATTGGTGAGAGGTTTGTACGTCCTTATAAGAATGTTCCGTTTCCTTCTCCAACCGTGTAGAATCTCACATGTTAGATGTTGAATTTTATGCTCGGGGGCGAGAATACTTCCCTTTTATGCTTTGCCCCTCAATTTCTTCCAACTTCATAGCTGTTAAACATTCATAAAACGTTGAAAACAGAGCAGAATGGGCTCTCTAAAGTCTTAAGCTATTAATGAATTTGCTTGTATCTGAAAGGTGAAGAAGAAGAAGAAGAAGAAGAATGAGTTGTGATGCGACCGACTTGCATTTATTACAGGGCTGTGGGCTGTCTATGGCTTATAATAAGTCCTAATGTTTTGTTCGGCTGTCACATCACCCCAAAACGCGTATGAACATTATACCATAGCTGGGCACCTTTACTTTTTCATGCCTTTCCCACTCCATTTCAGATTTTTTTAAAATTGATAGATCAAATAAACGTTTAAAATTTGAAACAAAAAAATACTTAGACAATCATTTTTTTGTTAACAGATAACGATAAGGCTGCAGTGAACAAGTTCGGGATCTTTTCGATCCATTAATTTTGGTGGTTGCTTAGGGAGATGGCAATGGAAATATTGTAGCATTCAAAGCTTAGCCACTATGCCCAATTAATTGGTAAAGGAAGTCTTTGTGTCTTATAATTGTGTGACCCTCATTTTCTTTAGCTTCTTAGATAAGGAAAGAGATCAAATAACTAAAGTGAAAGTGGGAACAAAAGGGCAAACAATTATTCCACCCTTTATATATATTAAAATTATTTTCATTTGGGGTCGATACTAATTTTTATTGAAATGTTCATCTGGATCCGGTTGTTGGATGATGAAAGTTTCCGCTAATTAAATTAATTATTTTAGTTAATTTATTTTTTCATGCAATTTTAGTAAGTGAGGGCAAAATGGTCATTTTATACCTACCAAAATAGATGTTTGGAAAATACTTAAAATAAGATAATAAAAGTTAAAAATAGTGTTTAAATCATAAATATAATTTTTGAAAAGAACCCATAATTTATTGTTTTTATTTTTATTTTTTAGATTCAAACTTTTATCTTAATATCTTATTTAGTCAACGGGTATTAAAAAAATAGTTTTGGATTTTAAAATTTATTTTATTACTAAAACAAGCTAAGCTCAAAGGTTAAAGGTATTATTTAACATTAAATTATATATTAGATTTCACATATTTAAATAATAATAAAAGAGGAAGACAATTTTTCAATGCCTATAAATTAAATTTATCTCTTAGAAAACAATTTATTTAATTTTCATAGACTAATTTTAAAATCATAAAAATTTAAAAATGAGTACATTTAAACCCACATACCATATATATTTTAGTTTAAGAAAAATAATAATTTAATGAGAGGTAAATATGTGACAACAAATATGGGGCGTGACGGCGGCGAGAGGCGGTGGTTGCGTTGACAGCACACCACTGCAGCATTCCCGGCGGAGGTTAAGGAGGTTAAGGCTTTGAATATGCTTCTCACTGCCTTACCATCTTATCCCCCGCCGCTTCGCTCATTTCTTGTTTTTATTCTTTTTTTTTATTTAATTATATATAGATATATATATAATTTTTTCGACATGTTTTTTTTTATTTAATTATATATATAAATTTTAATTGTATGTTTTTTTTTTTAATTTAGAAATTATTTAACCATTTGTTGCTTCTAGAAATGAAGATTATCCACACAGACTCACACCAATCATTTCAACATGTTTTTTAGGAAATTTTTTAGGTCACCGAGTATTATTACCAGAGACCAACACGAATACATAGGATTGACCAAGCTTGTGATTGAGTCATCGTGAAAAAATGTGCATATTATTGATACTTTTTATGCATTTCTTAACCTCTGTATCCTCGTAATTTCTCTTATTCGAATGTAATACGGTTTCATTTATGTATCTCTCGTCCATTTGAGCATCCAAAATTAGTTATTCACAACTTTGTTAGATTTGAATTGTTTTGTTTAACGTGTCGAAAAAATACTGTGTGAATGTAAGGTTTTAATGACATTGGATATGTTTGTAAATGAATGAGAGAATTTAAGGAATAAAGTAACCGTTTAAATTTAAAATTGTTATATATATATGTTCGTGAATGTATGGCTATCGAAACTAGAAATATAATTGGATTTTTAGTTTGTGTATTGTCGTGTTTGACGTATTTGGAAAAGGGCAAGTAAAAATGATAAATTTCGATATTTAAGGAACAGAGTATTTATTAGTGGTTCACGAATTTATGGTCGTATAAACCAAACAAATGATTGAACATTATTTTTGCTCAACGCGTGTCCTCGTATATTTGGAGAAATCACGTATATGTAAGATTTTGATGACGTAAAGTGAATTTTGGCTGTTTTATTGCTTTTTCTCAAAATAAATAAATCACAACAAGTTAAAGCTTAAAGACGAGATAGTTTAGATTTTTTAACATTTAAAATCATTCAAAACAACCATTGTCGGATTCCACGTCAATCGGAAGGGAAAAACGAAACATTTTCGTGTGGAAAACTCTCCATGGTGTTTTGAGAATGAAACATTTCTTACAAGGGTGTGAAAACCTCTCTCTACTGGACGTGTTTTAAAACTGTGAGGCTAATAATGATAACAATATCACTAACGTGAGTTTTGAGCGGTTATAAATGGTATTAGAGCAAGACATCAGGGTATTGTGTTAGCGAGGACACTAGGCCCCTAATGCAGTAAATTGTGAGATCCTACATCAGTTAGAAACATCGCTGGTAAGAGTGTGGAAATCTCTCCTTATTATACGCGTAATGGGGAAGTTAGGAGGCTGACCAAAAAAGTTCAAATAGGACAGTATCTAGATCACGTAACGGGAAAGTCCATAGACGGATTGAAATCGCTTAAAGAGGATAATATTTAGATGAGTATAGTTACGAGAAACCGAAGGTGATTTTATTAAATTATAAAAATAAAAATGGTAATTTAACGAATGAAGGTGAGGATGTTTGTTGCGTGAGATTATGAGCATAAATTGCGTATTGATTAAGGCGGGAGAAAATGAGATTAATGAGAGTAATTATAGAAATACGGAAGAGAGAGAGTGGATTAGTGGAAATACGCGTATAAAAAGCACTTATTATTCACCTTTTTTTTTTTTTCAACAAAAGAAAAAAAGAAAAAAATGGGGCATCCGAATCATGAAGACAGACTGTTTCTCTTCTTCACTGCTTCTTCTTCTTCTTCTTCTTCTTCTTCACCCCAAATCACGGGCCGTACAATCTCTCACTCTCTCCTCTAGGGTTTTGCTGCGCTTCTCTTACTTTCCTGCTCTTTCTTCTCCGACAATTTCTGCGGTACTCTCTATCTCTGTCTTTCTCTCTCATTTTCATTTTATTGTTCTTTTTCTCCGATGTTTAATTCTTCTTCAATGCCTGATTTGCTTTGTTTCTTTGAGTTATGTACTTGTTTGTGCATTATCTGATCTACGAGGTTGGATGCTTCTGCTGGTCTCATTTTTGTTTGCTTTTTTTAAAATTTGAGCCGATTGATCTGGTTTGGTTTTCATTCTGTTGAAATTGGGGGGAGTTGGCTTGTTTTTGGTCAAATTGCGTGGAGAATGTGGATTGAAATGGTGTACGGCATGAGGAGTGTCTTTTTTCTTTATGGAGATTCTCTTGTTTGGTGCTTGTGTGTCTGTTTCTTGTATATATTGGTTGATCCGAATTTGAAGGAGGATTTGATGGTGTTTGTTTCGTGATTTTCTGGTTTTTTCCCGAGTTAATAAGCTCTTGGAAATGGCGGTGATGTAGTTTTGGAGGAAAGTTTGATTCGGCCTCTAGTCTGGCGTTTCTAATTTAGATAAAATAAATGTTTATGCTTCATTATTTTGGACGAATTTTAGTGTACCGGACGCACTTTGGTTTGGACATCCGACCGGTCAATTATTTGGTGCAGTGGATGTTAGCTCAAGCATCATCTTTATTGCTGGTCGTGTCGAGCTCTAAAATTTCATTAACCACCTTCTAAGGGAGGCTTTCATTCCACTCTGACGTAAACCGCCGCTGAGTTGATATATCACGAGGACGATACTTCCTGATTTTGAATAGCTGGCTGCAGGAAGTGCATTGCTTTGTAACATTAAGATATTGAAAACTGCTCACCAGAAAGATTGGAGGCTTTAAGAAGTTTAACCTTTTATTAATGCCTTCATCGTAGGCTCCTGGCAAACAACGATCTACGTGTTATTATCTAAATGACACAGTATCGTTTTGTTGTTTCTATTTCGCCATTGGCAACAGCCTTTTCTTATGAATAGTATTTATCCTATTCTCATGGTTAGATATTGTCTTTCTATGCAGGAAATTACGTTATCTGACCCATTGGAGACGTACTGCTCAGTATATGTATATTTGCTGTACCACTATGTACTGGGTGAAACATTTCATGTATGATTGTTGAATTAAAATGAACATTGGGAAGTGTGGTTTAAAACTTAGCATATTTAGTGTATGATATAATGGAAGCTACTAGATGTTGGTTTAAGAAGTTCAAATCCAAAGACAATCCAAAGCCCCCTACAAATAAGGAGAGTACAGGCAATGCAAGAGATGCGTCGAGACCACCAACCAGTGAAGAGGTACCCTCCAATGTCACCAAGCAGAAGGTTGCAGCTGCCAAACAGTATATAGAAAACCACTACAAGAAGCAAATGAAGAGCTTGGAAGAAAGGAGGGAGAGGTTGGTCTTATGTTTTTTTATAGTTGTGTGGTCAGCCAAATTTTATTTTTCTATAGTATCCTCTCCTCCTCCTCCTCCTCCTCCTCCTCCTCCTTCTCTCTGTCTGCTGCATTTCCATCTTCATGTCAAGTACTTTGTAACATGCTAAAACTGATTGGCTTAGGTGCTAGTATTATTTGCTCAATCTTGTTCATCCAATGATTTTTTCCAGTTGTACACTTGCAATTTTTAGGTTAGCTCATAGTTCTTTCCTGGAAACTGATTGAAGTCTTTGCCACCTTGGCTGTTCAGTTAATCTTCTATGTACTTGTTGATTTTTCATGCCTTGGAGTAAAGTTTTCACTGCTTTCTCTGTAGACGCCATGTACTAGAAAAGAAGTTGGCTGATGCTGAGGTCTCTCAAGAAGAGCAAAGCAACCTGCTTAAGCATCTAGAGAAGAAGGAAACAGAGTATATGCGTCTTCAGAGGCATAAAATGGGTGCTGATGATTTTGAGCCACTAACAATGATAGGGAGGGGTGCTTTTGGAGAGGTATGAATTCTTTCTTTTACATGAAAGTTTATCTTTTCTTACGTGATCATCCGGCTGCTAATGGCTAGCGGTTAAATTTTGATGGCACTGTTATCAACTTTGCTTTGAATTCTAGTAGTTCTGCAGAAAAAAGAAAAGGATAAAATGTTAATAGCTGGTGCAGGTCAAAGTGAACGATAATACCTTTTCATGTATATCATATTTCTTTTTATCTATTTCGTTGATGCATCTTCCCCACTTAAGGTTCCTTTTGGCTTTGGGATAGTTGGCAGTGAGATCTTTCTTGTAGTTTCCATTTGCCTTATTGTTTGAAGATATACGAGCAATAGATGAAGTTAACATATGTTCAACATTCTTGGCATGTTTAACTGGATTTCTTGTTCAAAGATTAATAAGGAAAGAAGCTCATGGATGAATTGGCTAGCATATACTCTTGTGCAGAGAGAGGGAATAAATGGCCTTTCAAGTATTTGGACAGAGGGGGCGAGGCAAACCATTAGATTGTAGTATGTTAACCGGCTATTCATTCACTGAGACACATTTCCATTTTTATTGAGATACAGGTTAGAGTTTGTCGGGAGAAAGCAACTGGCCATGTATATGCCATGAAGAAGCTTAAGAAATCAGAGATGCTTCGAAGAGGCCAGGTCTGCTTACATTAGCATTACAGACACTATATGGTTTTAGTCACTATTTTGTTGAATGTGTATTATTTGACTATAGGTTGAGCATGTGAAAGCTGAAAGGAATCTATTGGCGGAGGTTGACAGTAATTGTATTGTAAAGTTGTACTGCTCTTTCCAAGATGAAGAGTATTTATATCTTATTATGGAATACTTACCTGGTGGGGATATGATGACTTTGTTGATGAGGAAAGATACTCTTACAGAAGATGAGGCTCGATTTTATGTTGGTGAAACAGTTTTAGCTATCGAGTCAATCCATAAACATAATTATATCCACAGGTTAATATTTCCTGCTTGCTTTGTTCTTTAATTGATAAATTTCATTGCATTGTGTTCATGGTGGGCACATGTATGGTTATTGGGAGTAACGCTTATTTCCTGTGCCCTTTGCAGAGATATCAAGCCTGATAACTTGCTTCTTGACAAGGATGGCCATATGAAATTATCAGATTTTGGATTATGTAAACCATTAGATTGTAGTAACCTCCAAGAAAAGGATTTTTCCCAGGGAAGTAACCTTAGTGGTGCTCTTCAAAGTGATGGGCGTCCTGTGGCATCAAAACGCACACAGCAGGAACAACTACAGCATTGGCAAAGGAACAGGCGGATGCTTGTAAGTAGTTCAATATCCTGTATGGTAGATCCATAATTACTTTACATTAGTCACTTGTAAATTGGTGAACCAAAAATTTTCCTTTGCTTGATTCTGGTTTTCCTAGTCTTTTTTCATCCTTAGAGAAGTTCTCATTTTGAACCTTTTACGACCACATATTGCCAAAAAAATTTATTTGACATTAAGGTGATTTCTGTTGCAGGCTTATTCTACAGTTGGAACGCCTGATTATATTGCTCCGGAAGTTCTGCTGAAGAAAGGATATGGAATGGAATGCGATTGGTTAGCATCTTTCTGCTTTATTTGGTTTATTTTTATATTTCAAGATAACCTTTCGATGATATTTTGCTAAATCAACTTCAGGTGGTCACTTGGTGCCATCATGTATGAAATGCTTGTGGGATTTCCACCGTTTTACTCAGATGAGCCTATGTCAACTTGTAGGAAGGTAATGTGGAACTAGTTTCGGATTTTGCTTTGGGTCCTTGATTTCTTAACATGAATGAAAGATCTTACGAAGTATGTAAGATATATGTTGGTTTACATTTACTGGATGAGAATAGATTCGTGAAAGAATAAAAAAAGAAAGCCAACGGAAATAAAACAGGCAGAAATCGGAATAGAACTTCTAATGTTAAGGTTTACTGAAATTATTTTAGTATCTGAATATAAACGAGAAGCTTAATATTAATGTTATTAACTCAGCCTATAATGAAAATTAATTTTTGATTGGTACATGACTCTAGTTATGTAGTGAAGCAAAATGTCAAAATAAAAATTAAAATGGACTAGAAGAATGGATAAATGGGAAGGCGTCCTCTACCATTGTTTAAGATAATGTTATTGTGGACTGACGAGTCTAATTATTTTTATGGATAGAATTCATGTCAAGATTATTGTCAACTCGAAGTAAATAATAATTGTTAGATTGAGGAGAATAATTTTCAATCCTTCATTGTCAATCCTTGTAAACAAAGCCTTAACTTTCTTTTTTTATTACCTAGAGCCTGGATACTGGCAACCTTATGATGGTCGGGGTCTTAAAGGGACATGGTGTAATTTTGGATTTATCCTCTCTAATTGTGTAGTTTAGTTAACTATTTTGGAATTGACTCTTGTGGTTTGATACTCTTTTCTCAGTCGTGACTAATTTTCCCTTTAACCTATGGTGCAGATAGTTAATTGGAAAACTCATTTGAAATTTCCAGAAGAAGCGAAACTCTCTCCAGAAGCGAAGGATCTAATTAGTAAACTCTTATGCAATGTTGAACAAAGGCTTGGGACCAAGGGTGCAGATGAAATAAAGGTGTTGTGTGGTGTGTTCTGTTCTAAATGTTGATCAACAAATCACAAATTGAGTTCCTAAAATAGAGTGATAGTTAAATTATTGGTTGATTTGGCTTTAGGCACACCCATGGTTCAAGGGCATTGAGTGGGACAAGTTGTATCAAATGAAAGCTGCATTTATTCCTGAGGTCAATGATGAACTGGATACTCAAAATTTTGAGAAGTTTGAAGAGGTACACCAGTAATTCATTTTCTGTATCTATAGCAGAACTGTTTCTGGTACCCTTGTGTTAACTTCTTCTATCCATTATGGATGGTGTTATAGACTGAAAACTCAATTCAGACGTCATCGAAATCAGGTCCATGGAGAAAGGTTAGTTTGTCAGACTCCTGATAATTTATCATTGGTTTTAATTTTACGTGGACAGAAGTGTTTTCTGTGGCCATTCTATAACTTGCATCTAAAATTTCCTAATATATTGGATCATAGGCTCTTTTTTCTTCTGTGACTTATTCTATCAAATTCGTTTCTGGGGAGGTAGCTGAAGTTGATAAGATTTCTGGGTTTTTTTTTTTAAGACTCTAGTCTCTATTTTTAAAATTAATAACCAGATGGTCCTGACTGTTTGTTGGAATCGGAACGGCAGGAGATTCTTAACAACTAGAACTATTCTTTTTGTTTGGGGAGGGGTGTTAGGCCAGGGACTTCAGATGACCTAGTTCTGTTTTAAAAGAACAAGAAATCGGAATGACAGTTGCATAATTCAGACAGACATTGACCTGCAAATCACTGATATATAGGACATTGCTAACTAATATGCTGCCTGTTTGCTGATTTTTTTAATTGTTTAATGCAGATGCTGTCATCGAAAGATATTAACTTTGTGGGTTATACGTACAAGAACTTTGAAATCATCGATGATAATCAATTGCCTGGAATCGGTATCTCTGCCCCCACTTGTTTCAATACGAATGAAAATTTTTCAACAGATATATCTATTCTTTTTTCTCCCTCTCACTACCCATAAACCAAAGAACAGTACGCTTGTCTTCATTACTCTTGGAGTAATGCAAGGCAATGTAGGTTCTTTCATTGGTTGTCTTGGTTACTCATTGCAACTTTCCTTCGCATTTTTTTTCTGGGAGAAAATGCTGTAGTTTAGTCGAGTTATACATGTGGAAAGGTAGATTATGTTGTTAAATGGAAGATGGTTCCTTCATTTCTTGCGTTCTTGTTTGTCCATAATGCTTTAGCATGCATATTATTATCTTAGTTCTCTAATTTATGATCGGGATCAATTTTACGACACAATAATATATTGTATAATGTTAAAATAAATGTTTGTTTAGTTCATACGTAACTAAATGCTGCTACACACGAAAAGCACTCTCCCTTCTCTTAGATTGGAAATATTGTCTTTTACAACATCCATTTCCATGGCCCTTTTTTAAGCATCTTACCTGACATGTCTGCGGCTTTTGTTAACAGCTGAATTGAAGAAGAAGAGCACAAAATCTAAAAGACCTTCCATCAAATCTCTTTTCGGTAATTTTCAAGCCCTTAAGAAATCTTCATTTTCTGGTAAGATTGCCCCATTCAGATCTTCCTTCGTTAATGTTTTTTAAGTTATTGCTTTGGTCTATAACCGCAGAAAACGAATCTGCAATGGCGACCAATCAACAACCTGTTCAAGGCAGCTTTTTGAAACTCTTGCCTCCCCAACTAGAAGTTCCTGAGAAACCGATGAGCGCCAATGGGAAGCATTCATGATTTCGGCCCATCGTCGGGGTTACTTCCCAAAGACCGATCACGTGCTCTTGGGTGAGAAAACTACCCTTTTGTTTAACTGCTGCTTTGCATATTTGGGTAAATTTTGGACAGGAGGTTTTAGAGAGGGAGGGGAGGGCAAAGGCCTAATAATCTGTTGGGAGTGAGAAAAGACAATCAAACATTGGCTCATGGATCGTCTGGTTTCCATTAGTCTCTGTAAAATATTTCCTTTCCTTTCCATTGGAGGTATAGGAGGTTGTTCTTTCCAAAACTCAAACTCGTGACTTGTTAATTCCTTTTCTTTTATTTATTTCCATCCAACCCCTCTTTCGTGCAAGATGCAAAGCTTCCTTTGTTCAATTCTAGAATTACTGGTCTTGTAATTAACTTACTGTTGTTGTTGTTGTTGATAGTTGTATCATTTTACACATGGAAATTTTAGATTCATATTAACATGTTCTAAATTGCGTGTGTTTTGCTTCTCTTTTCTCTCTCTACAAAGCTTATTAGTTCATGACCTTTATATAACTCACTTCATTCAGTATATCTTCTAAAGCTTCATTCTGCCCTCTGTGCCTGCTTATATTTTGCTATCACCCTCCAAATTTTGACGAGAAATATCCTGAATGCGTTTGGTTTGGTTAGGCCTGTTAGACGAACACGACTCTCCACAATGGTATGATATTGTCTACTTTAAGCATAAGCTCTCGTAGCTTTGCTTTGGGCTTCCTCAAAAAGCCTCGTACTAATGGAGAGAGAGTAATATATAAACCTATGATTATTCTCTAAATTAGCCGATGTGAGGCTTTTATCATCCAACAAGGTCCATAATTTTTTTTGTCTCGAACTTTTAGGTAAGTAACAATTTAGTGTTTGAATTGTTAGTTTGTAATGATTTGGTTCCATTGTTTTTAATTCTGTAATAATTTAATTTTTGAAAATTTGAATTTATTTTAAAAATGAATTATTTAAATAAACTAATGTTTAGTTGACATATTTTAATTGTTATGTCATCATTCCATTACGGACAAGGGGAGTCTAAACAATAATTTGTTCAATTGAAAATCAAATTCAAGGCCTGTGAGACTAAACATGTCATTTTTGGAATTTCAATAATCAAATAGAAACTAAATTAAAGTATTAAGGTAGTTTAAAACTTTATTTTTCGTTTGTTGTTTCAATATTAGTTGGCATTTGAGTGAAAATCGAAAAGAATCCTCTGTTTAAAAATGATTTTAAAAATTTCGAACATGACATATCAACTAATATTTTTTCAAAAAAAATTGAAAATAAAAAATTCTTAGACGCTCCTACATTCCCCCACCCCCAAATAATGTTACGTTTGAATTTTATGTATTTATTTATTTTAATATTGTCGTGTTTAAAACTAATTAAAAATGAATAGTTTTAAGAAAACCTAAATTATAAATAAATAAAAAAATCCCTAAATTAAATATTAAAAAACTTTAAAAGTAATTTGGAAATAGAAATTCATCAAATACAATTACTAATATATATTTTAAATGAATAGAACCTCCAAATTTTATGATTATAAATTGACATCTAACCTAATTTTGAAATAAAATAAAATTTAAAACCAAAAGGAACCATTCAAATTAGATTAAAAGAGAGAGAGAAAGTGTGTCATTATCAAATGAATTTAAAAAATGTTTGAATTTGGTATGCCATCTTAGGATATTATGTGTACGAATTATATTAAAAAAAAAAACAGGTGAGACAAAGGACTAAATCTAGTCTCATTCATATCTCCCTAAATACTTTTATTTCAAATTAGAAAGTTAATTATAAATTTACCTTTTTAAATCTTTTTTTTAATAAAACAAAACCCTTTTAAGGAAAAAAAAAAGCTTTAATTGATAATATATTAGGTTTTCTTCGACCCTAACACATCACCAATAATAATAATAAAGTTAAATTAATAAAAATACCCTGTACGTCGTTTAAACTTAGCCAATAAACTATATATGTTCATGTAGAGATGTTACGTTTTGATCTATAGACCCGTCACGACGAGATGAGACAAAATAAACGTGTGTCTCCATCGGGAGCATTTTATATGTGTGTTACAAAAAAAAAAAAACTTTAAACTCTTCTCCATTGTGAGTGTTTTTTAAAACTCTTCATAAATTTCAAGAGTATAGCTATCACGTCAGGATGATAAACTAGCCGACAAGAGAGATACTCGCACTAGTATGATGATGTGTCTAAATTTTTTTGATGCTTATGGCATTGTTTGCTAACAATGGTGTAGAAATTACGAAATAAAATAATATATTATTGAATATCAATATTGCAACAAGGATTAAGGAACAAGACGATACCCATCTTGGTTTAATTGAAATTGATATTGGTAGATTACCTGTCTCGTCCTCTTCGACCTGAGCCACTCAAGTCTACCTCGGTGGACATTTTCGATGTTATGAATAGGGTTAGAAGCCTACGAGTTCATTGTCCATACCTAATTTAAATTAATTCTATACTTCCATGCCAATTTATGAGAGAGACAAAATTTCAACCTTTCAATATAAAGAATTAATTTTTCAATTATATATATATATATATATATATATATATTAATGAAAATAGTTAGGATATATTCCTTAGAATTATATTTTAGAATTTTTTTTTATAAACTTAATACATCATAATTGAACATACTAATTTTAAAATATTTGAATTTGAAATGACATTTATATTAAAAAAATAAATAAAAACATTTCAATTTCCATGTCATTTCCTATATAAATAAATTTATTTAAATTAAAAATAAATAAAAAAGAAAAAGGCTTTAATGTGTGTTAATAACTTTTAAGGCATTGATTTTTGTTCAGCCACGTAATCACCCTATCCACCTATTTTGAAAAGAAAAATACATAAACTATAGGCAATTCACATTTTCAAATTTTATTAATATAAATAATTAAAATTAAAATAATACCATATTATAAAACGCATTATTGTCACAAAACCTAATCTTATTTGATAATATATATTATTACAAAGACCGTATCAAAACTATTATTGATCCTAACTCTTGCCGTGTCTGACATTGAGCGTCTCTCCACGTCCAACCTCCCAAACAATAATTTATGTAAAAAACAGTGATTACTATCTCGACAAGTGATAAAAATGTACTTAAAGACACGTAATTTTAAGGCTTAAGTATATATAACTGTGAGGTCTGAGTAAAATACAAGCACGTGAATTAGAGATGTTCATGAGACGGGACGAGGACGAAGAAGCCTGCCCAATCTCCACCCTCCTTTTTCAGTCCCCGTCCTCGTAAAATTTTATATTTTTTTTTGTGGGAATCGAGATAGAGATTCCTCGCAATAATGTGATATGAAAAATTTTCAATATTTTTATTTTTAAAAAATGGTTCTTCTATTTTCTTATTATGTATTTCATTTTACAATATAATTTTTATTATAAAAATATAAATAAAAATCTAATATAAGGTTTGCAAACAAAAATATAATATAATATTTTACCAAAACATAGTTTTTAATAAATTAAAATTTAATATTATAACAAAGAAATTTCAATGAGTTTTATTACGATTATAATATATAAATAATAATATTTACAAAAAAAGATTAGAAGTTTATTATTTTGACCAAAATTTTACAATTTTTTAGCTAAAATAAAGTACAATATTGATGAACCACAGGTAAAAAGTAAATAATAATAATAATAATAATTGCAAGACAAATAAAATATAAAAAAAATGATTTTATTATAATTTTTAATATATATATATATCAAACATAGAGAAATCCCTTAATCGAATGAGAGTGATCATGAAAATATGAGGTTTAAAAATGTTTAAAAGAATTTATAATTATTACATGTACCAACAAAATGCATTTTTATTTTTCGTAATTGGAACATAGAACTTCAAAATTGGAAATGTGAATTAATTTGGAAAAAATATATTAAAAATTTTGAATTAAAATATGTTTAAAAAAGAGAGAAAATTAAATTTAGGCCGGTTTTGCAATTATTATTGCAATAAAAAAAAATAAAAAAAAGAATATTTTAGGGGGAAAATGATCTCAACCAGCGTAAATTTGGAGACGTTTGGTGGTTCCCAACTAATATTTATTGGAATAAATAATTATTAAAAATAAAAATAAAAGAATTAATATTATTATTATTATATCATATTATCATCCAGCTTTTGGTGAATCAATTATCACTCACCGTACTTTCTCATCTATTTTATTTTCCTTCCTTTTTCTGTGCTTCTCCTTCCCTCCTTTTCCTCTTCTTCAATCACATCTCTCAAAATACCTTTCCCTTCTCTTCCGCCATATTCAATCTCTTCTTCAATCGCCATAAATCCCTTCTCAATTCCTTTCACCTCTCTGTTTCCAACTCCTTCACTTCATTTTTTTTGATTCCTTGCTATGAACTACTGCTGTATCACAGGGATTGGATTCTTTTCATCTTCTAAATTCCATCGTTGCCTCCTTTACTGATCTTTGCACTCTCTGACAATTCCGATTTAAGCATCCTTTTCTTTCTCCTTTTCTGTGTTTACTTCCAGAAATTACACTATCTTGCTCTCCCCCCAAAAGACAGAAGAACCCTTTTTTGTTCGTTTTGGGGATTGGGGTTTTGCTTACTCACTAACTTCTGTTTCTTAGATTCTTCCTTCTCTATCATATTTTCGGATTTTTTTTTCCAGAAAGTGAAATTTGAAGTATTTTCGGCGGTCTGGAGTTGGGTTTTTGAGCTTTTCTTTCTTTTATTTGAAGCTTGAAGGTTTTTCTTCATCGCCGTGTTTAATTCCCAGTTGGTGGATCTGAGATGGTGTTTGGAGATTGCAATCGTATCAAGGATCTAGGAATTGCGGATTGGTAGTTCAACTGTTCTTGTTCGGTTAGTGTTTTGGATTGGGGTTTGAGTTGTGGTGATAAAAGGGTTAATCGCGAGGGCTTTAATTCGATTCGAGCTAGATCATGGAGCATGTAATCGGTGGGAAGTTTAAGCTGGGCCGGAAGATTGGAAGCGGATCCTTCGGTGAACTGTATTTGGGTATGCTTATCTGGTGCTTTTGAGATGGATTTTATAGTTTTTGAGAAGCTTTGTAGTTAATATTGATATTGATCTGGATTGTTGTAGGAACTAATGTGCAAACTGAGGAGGAAGTGGCTGTTAAGCTGGTATGTAAATGATCTTCCCCTTCCCCTTCCTTCCTATATTTAGTGCATAACTTAATCATTACTATTTGACTTGGACTGGTTTCTTGAAAGTCGAGGCATTTTGAATTGTTTGTTGACACGGACGAAGTCAAGGAAAACCTCTGAAATTATTCAATATTGGACCTTGGACATATAAGAGTTCTGAATCAAATCTCTTTAGAAAGAAGATCTTTTGTTTGTCTCATCGTAGCCTGATAGTATGTTCACAAACTATTCTAGTATGTAACTCG